ATCTTGCAGCCAGTGTGACAGAAGCTCGACAGCTACTACTCACAGCATGGATTTCTGAGGGTGGCTGGCTGCCTGCCTGGAGCAGGAGCCATCTAACCCAGCCCTTAACAGCAAGCTCCTTGTTCTGCAGTGGTGCTCCCTCTTCCAGAGGTGGCCTCCTGCTTTGCAGACTCTCTCCTGGAACAAAGGCTTAAAATCGGGTTAATCCTTCCATGCCCCATTCCCCTCCTGGCGAAGTGGAGAGCAGCATACCTCGCTCTCTCCCTTAGGGTTTCCTTGGGGGAGCAGGAATGAAGGAGCTCCAGGTTCACAAGGTGGTGCAAAGGCTCAGAAACCTTCCCAATTAGAGCCAGAGTATGAGGATTTCTATCAAGTGACGTCTGCTATGCACTCCCAGCCCTTTCCCCCGATCTGAATTCAAAAGCAGTAGAACTGACAGAAGAGCTTTTGCTCGTGGGTTGTGCTGGGCTTCAGTTTTGCTGCAATCCCTCCCTAGCTCAAACACCAAGCTAAGGGTAATTTGACATCATCTGCACAGGCTGGCTTAAGGAATTGGTGTTCACATTGTCACAGGATGTGCCCAGTACCTATGGGGGCTCTTCTGAGTGTCTTGTTGCCTCCTGCCCTCACACACTTCAAGGTCTCCCTATTTAATAAAGGCTGTCTGCCATGTCCTGCTGGAAATGTACCCTGAGACACTCATAAACTGAGTGAACGTGAACAAAGCTTGACAAAGGATGCCAAAGGCTCAGGCTGACTGAGAAAGACAGCTCTGTAAAGCACAAATTCACATTTTTAACAAAGGACATATGTACTTAAGAGGTCATACCACGTCTTTTCCTATTTCAGGTCTCAGAACATTGTACAACATCTGTAACTCAGGACAATGAATGTGTCCAACAACTGCAGCACCACAAGTCTAGAACTGCATCCCCATGTTCGCCTCATTGAATTTGCTCTGTATAGCCTAATTTTCTTTTTTGGAGCACTATTTAATGTCCTTGCCTTCTGGGTGTTCTCCTGCAAGATGAAGAAGTGGACAGAAACCAGGGTGTATGTAATGAATTTAGTCTTTGCAGATTTCTCTGTCATCTGCACCTTGCCTTCCATGGTTTATTTGCTCTGGAATAAGTCAGCCCGAGGGGAGCTCTGCCAGTTTACAGAGACAATGTATTTTATCAACATGTTAGTGAGCATCTACATAATTTCATTCATCTCCATTGATCGATACATTGCCATAAAGCACCCCTTGAAAGCCAAGACCTTCAGGTCCCCATCAAAGGCTGCCCTCCTCTGTGGGCTCCTGTGGGTCTTGGTGATAGTCAGTGCCACCATCCAGCTCTGGCACAAACATGCAGCTCTCTGCTCCCAGACCTACATCCCCACGCCTGCTGCTCTCAGCCTGCTGGCCATTTGCTTTGTTTTCACTCTCCCATTAGCAATCTTGACCTTCTGCTCCACAGAAGTCATCAGGAACCTCAAGAAACATCTGAACACGAATTCACCAGAGGAGAAATCGATCCAGAAAGCCGTACACATTATTTATGCAAATCTGATTGTATTTCTGATATGTTTTATGCCAGCCTACATTGGGCTACTTGCCAGGTTCATCTTGGAGAGCGTTGGATCTACCTGTTTCCTGCTCTGTGTCATGAAGAACTTCTCCTCCATGATGAGGTGCATTGCCACGTCCAACTGCTGCCTCGATAGTGTCTGCTACTACTTTGTCACTAGGGAGTTCCAGGAAGCCTTTCTACATCCCAAAGCCAGCACTCAAAAACCAGAGGCAACCCCACCCCTTGCAGTTACAGACATGCTAAAGGAAAAAGGGGAACAAAATCCAACATGTGCAACATAAAGTGGAAATACAGCTGCAGGGCTATTGGGATAAGTTTTGCTCTTTTTCTCTAGCAAGTTCTTTAGGTTTAGAAATTTATCCTCTATGTTTCCATTAAAGAATTGGTCAAGAGATGTGTAAAAATGTGTGTTTAATCAGTTGTTGGTAACATGCCTCAATTCCACCCTCCAGCACCTACTTGTTACTGTTACAGGAAGACAGGTGAGCCGTGTACCTCTTTTAGTTCCTTCTGCAGCTAAAATCTACTGATCCTTCTTGCCAACATGTACAATGTATATATCATATTATACCTCATTGTGTATTTCAAATTGTTTCAATTTTTAAATTAATCCAGTTTATATTCATCCCATTCCTTTGGCAGCCTGGGTTGGGTGGTTGTTCAGATGGTTTGGGCATATTATTAAGCACTTGTCCCTACAAAATAGCCTCGGATGTCCTGATCTCCTTCCCCTTCAGCTCAACAGGTCAGACAGGTGTGAAGGAACACTTTTGGGATGAAAGCAACACTTGTCCAATGCCATAAAGGCACAAAGTCCAGACTTCAGAGCTGAGTCCTCCTACCAGCTCCCCTGCAGCTGCCCTGCTGAGCCCTGGCCCAGAGACAGCTCCTCAGAAGAGCCATCCCTGCCTCTCCCACGCACTGAAAGCCCTTTCACTGCTGCCCTGGCATTCGCCACCCTCGCACTGCCCTGGTTTGTGTTGTGGCCAACCCCCAGGGCCACCACAGCTCAGGCTCAGAGTACCCCCAGCTGAACCCAGCTGGCTTCCACAGCCTGCCCACACTGACACCCCTAACATTTCCATCACGGAAATGTGTTTTCCCACAAGTCAGCAGCCTAGAAAAGTCAGGGGAGAGAGGAAGTGGATAAATACTGTCTAGAATGGGCCATTTTTTCTTTCTGAATGCTAAAACCCCCCCAAAATGACGTTGAGTGCTGCCCCAGCAATACTCAGTGTTCTGTCAGACAGTGTGGGGGAGTCTTTCCTGCCCACAAGCATATCTTCCCCTGTGACCTACAGCTGCCATCAGTGAGCCCACAGCCGGTTCCCCATCTGCTGCTGTCACCTTTGAGAGGTTTTGCAGGGCCTGGTTTTTGGTAGCAGGGGGTCAGTCCACAGAAGTGGCTCCTGTGAGAAGCTGCTGGAAGCTGCCACCATGTCTGGCAGAGCCAGTCGCTGCTGGCTCTGAGGATGGACACGCTGCTGGCCAAGGCTGGGCCAATGACAGAGGTTGGTAACGCCTCTGTGGTAACAGATTTAAGAAGAAAATCAATATAAAGGGAGACACAGCTTTTTCTAGCCAGAGAAAAGGAGAAGGTGAGAACATGTGAGGGAAATAACAGGGAGACACCAAGATCAGTGGAGAAGGAGGAGAAGGAGCGGCAGGAGGTACTCCAGGGGCCAAAGCAGACATTCCTCTGCAGCTGTGGTGAGACCATCCCACAGGGGATGCAGAGACTCGTGGGGGATGCAGAGATCCACCCACAGCCCATGGGGATCCATGGGGGATGCAGAGATCCACAGGGGATACAAAAATCCACCCACACTCCACGGGGATCCATGGGGGATGCAGAGATCCACAGGGCATGCACAGATGCACACACAGCCCATGAGGATCCATGGGGGATGCAGAGATTCCCCTACAGCCCATGGCAGAAGTGCCCACACCGGAGCGGGTGGGTGCCTGGAGGAGGCTGTGATCCAGTGGAAGACTCAATGGAGAGGGGGCCCTGCTCCCCGGCTGGAGCAGCCTGTCCTTGGAGGACTGCACCCCATGGATGAGTGACCCACACTGCAGCAGTTTTGGGAGGACTGTCTCCCGTGGGAGGGACTCACATAGCAGGAATTTTGGGAGAACTGCTGCTCATGAGAGTGGATCCAACTCTGGAGAAGTTCACGGAGAACTGTCTCCTGTGGGAGGGACCTCACAGCCTCACAGAGGAAGGATTCCTTTTCCAGAGCAGAGGAAGAAAATCTCGGTGATGAACTGACCAAAATCCCCATGTCCTGTCTACCTACAGTTGGTGGGAAGAAGGGAGGGGTTGGGAGAAGAAAAGGTGTTTTAAGGGCTTACTTTACTTCTTATCATCCTCCTCTAATTTTGTTGGTAATAAACTCACTTTGTATCTCTAAGATGAGCCTGTTTTGCCCTTGGAGTGTTTTCACCCAATCCTTATCTCAACTTAGAAACCCTTTGTTAAATTTTCCTCTCCTCTGCCCTGCTGTGGCAGGGGAGGGCGAGTGAGCAGCCCTTGTGGGATGGCAATTGGCATTTGGCAAGTGCCAAACTATGACAGCTCCGAAGACAAGAATTAACAAGACAAATCTTGAGGGAGTCAGTCTGGCTCCTGTCAGCTGGCTCACAGAGATGGGATTGCAACTGCTGTAGCCAGTGGGCAGCAAAAACCATCCAAATGTCTGTGAAACACCACTGGGCAGCTCCTAACCATGCTCCTAAAGGCCCCCAAACCATCCAAATGTCTGTGAAACACCACTGGGCAGCTCCTAACCATGCTCCCAAAGATCCCTAAACCATCCAAATGTCTGTGAAACTCCACTGGGCAGCTCCTAACCATGCTCCTAAAGGCCCCAAAACCATCCAAATGTCTGTGAAACTCCACTGGGCAGCTCCTAACCATGTTCCTAAAGGCCCCAAAACCATCCAAACATCTGTGAAACTCCACTGGGCAGCTCCTAACCATGCTCCCAAAGAGCCCTAAACCATCCAAACGTCTGTGAAACACCACCGGGCAGCTCCTAAAGCCCCAGCAGCTCAGTGCCACGCTGGAGGCAGTGGCTGTGGTTGCCTGCCTTCCCAGCAGGGCTGATGGGCACAGTTTCACCGCTGGCTCTGCACAGGCAGTGAGGAGCCCATGGCCTCTGCCGGTGCAGGTGCCAGCAGCTCCGGGTCCCGGGGCTCCTGTCCCCGGGGCACAGCACCGACCTGTCCCCGCAGAGCCTGCACAGCTCCCCGGGGAACCTTCTGCTGCCAGAGGGGCACTTTGCAACCATTATGGGTTTTATCTCAGCAGTTGTTTTCCCACGGCTGCAAAGATAAAATTTTAATTGCCGGGCTGTGAGGCGAGGAGGGGGAGCGCCCTGTGGGCGGAAAGGCTGACGGCGGAGCTCGGAGCTGCCGGCAGCGGGACAACAGAGGGCACCAGACACTCCTGCGGAGGAAATCGGGCATAAATGAAGCGCTGGTGCTCGCACCGGCTCACTGGGGGCTCAGCACTGCCGGCTGTGACAGCCGGGACGGCCCTGACAGCACGGCCGGCGCGGACCGCCCGCCCGCCCCGCGGCCTCCCTGAGGAGCCGGCCCGCCGCGGCCCCGAGCAGGTAAAGCCTCCCTGTCCCACCCGGGGCTGCGCTCCGCACCTCCCGCCCGCCGCAGCCCCGAGCAGGTAAAGCCTCCCTGTCCCACCCGGGGCTGCGCTCCGCACCTCCGCCCGCCGCGGCCCCGAGCAGGTAAAGCCTCCCTGTCCCACAGCGCTGCTGCCCCTCGGGGCTGTGCCTCGCACCTCCCGCCCGCCGCGGCCCCGAGCAGGTAAAGCCTCCCTGTCCCACCCGGGGCTGCGCTCCGCACCTCCCGCCCGCCGCAGCCCGCCCGGGCCCGGCTCGGCTCTGCTCTGCTCCCACCGCTGCTCCGCTCAGGGGCTCTGCCCCCGCTGCAGTTCCCCTCAGCGCTCCCTCGGCGCACGGCTGGGCTCGCACTGGGCTGGTGGGGCTGGCTTGCCCAGCCCAGAGGGCTCAGCTGCTCCCCGGGCACATTGCGCAGGCAGAGTGGCTTCTTCACTGCGAGGTGACCGCAACAGGCTGCCAGGGAACAGCTGCAGCATAGGCTGAAACCACAGAGTGGCCAAAACCTGTGAGGCTGAAAGCCCAAGAGCAACAGGACACCAGCTGTATGTTAGTTCCTCCATGAATTCCGCCCTAAAAATGACTTTATGCCTGGGGTTCAGTGCTGCCATACCAGTTGTGGTGCTAGGGCAGGTGTTGAGGTGTTGTGCTTTCCTCTGGGTTTGCCAGGTCTGTCTCTCAGCCTTGTACATTAGAACAGTTCACTTACTTAATGCAATCATCTATTTTCACTATAATTTGCATGTTGATGTTTAGAAGCTGCTGACTTAGAAGGCAGTGTATTGGTAAGAGATTGTAGGAATTTGGGCACTTTCTTTGCCTGGCTCATTTCAAATACTTCCTATATGAGCTTCTCAAAAAGTCAGATTCATCCTCTTTGCTGGTGGCAAATGCCCTGAGATATTTAAAGGAAGAGCAGGAGATAGTCTAAGTTCTCACATTCATGTTTTCTGCCCTAGCAAAATTTTTGCTGCGTACCTTTGAAGGCTGAGATCAGATAAGTTTTGCCCACTTTCCCTTCTTTCTCTGGAGGCCTGTTATCTGCTAGGGCTGCTGGTACCCCTGCTGAGCTGTTCCTCCCCAGCAGAGGAATGGATTTGTGTTTAGGGGCACAAAGCCTGTCCACAGCAGCCTACAGCAGTGTTCCCACTGCCCCCGGGAGCAAAGCGGCTGGGCTGGAAGGGCTCAAGCCCTGAGGATGTGCTCAAGTCTGGCAAGACCCAGAGCAAAGCCATGGGGTGGCTTCAGCAGCAAAGCAAGAGCTGTGGAAGGCAAATGGGGAATGCTGCCCAGGGCAAATGGGGAGTGCTGCCCAGCTCTGCTGTGGGCTGTCCTAAAGCCAGTGGCTCTGACAACCACAGCAGAGGCAAAGGTAACAACAACAAATGTCATTCTGCTTTGCTATGACCCAAACTGTTTGTACCAGGACTGGAGGGATGATGAGGCAGGCTTAACCCTGCACCAGCAGCAAGAGAGGGCTGTCCTGGTGGTTTTGCTCTGCCTTATGTGGTAGCTGGCTGTGAGTGACAGTGTAACTTTGATGGCTGAGGGACTGATGGCACTGGTGAGCCACAGAACCCCTCCAGAGGCTGCCCGCACGGGCAGTGCAGGGACACGAGGAGCTGCAGGGCCATGAGAGGGGGTACAGCCGCAGGACACTGCCACTGAGCTCAGTCTCATGCCTGCACTCTTTCCTTGCAGAGACAGCCCAACATGGAGAACTGCACTGGGAGAGTTGCATATGATAGCATTGTGGTGCTCCAGCTGGTTGTGTACATCCCAGTGCTCGCTCTGGGGATCCCACTGAACGCAATTGCCTTCTGGGTCTTCTGCTGCAAAATCAAGAGGTGGACCGAGACCAAGGTGTACATGATCAACCTCATCGTGGCAGACACTTCCCTGCTCTTCACCCTGCCTTTCCTGCTATATTTTACCAAGTACAAACAACCCATAGACCAGCTGTGTTTAGTCATACAAAACATCTATTTTACAAACATGCCTATGAGCATCTTTATCATCACCCTGATTGCGATTGATCGGTACATTGCAATCAAGTTCCCTCTAAAAGCGAAGATTCTTCGATCCCCACTGAAATCAGCTTCTATCTGTGCCTTTCTTTGGATACCAATGATAATTTATTCCAGTTTGTATTACACACTTCACAGTAGCGATAGGGAAGATTGCTGTTTTCAGAAACAATCTCTTCTACCTAGGTATTCCTCTTTATTCTACACTATCTGTGGGTATTTTATTCCCTTAGGGATTGTGATTTTTTGCTCAGTACAAGTCATCAGATGTCTAAAAAAGAAGATGGCCACAAGCCCTCATGAGACAAAATTATTCCAGAAGGCCGTGCAGATAGTTTCTGTGAATTTGTGTGTGTTTGCCATCTGTTTCTCACCTTTCCACATCTCACTGCTCTTGAGGTTTGCAGTGGAAGTTGCTGGAGCTCATTCTCTGATACCCGGAGTTGTAACCTATATTAAGGTCTCAGCATGCTTAGCCAATTGTAACTGCTGTCTGGATGCATTTTGCTATTATTTTGCAGCCAAGGAATTTCCAGAGTTGTCTTCTATGTTCCCCAAATGTATATTTATGAGGTCCAAGATGAACCAAGGTGAGGAGTCACAGCCACCCACGGATCAAGTGATACTATGAACAAGGTGTAGTGCATGGCAGGTGTTGAGTGCCACAATGCTGCTCAAGTTTTGAGGCACAGGCAATGGAACCACATACAGTGTTTGCAATCATTGTAGGCATAGGCATATGTACAAAAAGGAGAAAACCCCTCCAAAGGGTCTGATGTTAACTTTAATTTTGCCCTGCTGTCCTCAGTAACTTGACTCCAGCTCTGACTACTGCGTTGTATCATTGCATTGCAGCTCCAGGCGCCTCCTGGTGACAGCTTGTCTTGGTTGGCTTCATGGTCCTTCACTTTCAATGTCTTCTCACTTGTAAACCTCTAAAAAATTTCCTCCGGGGACTGCAAGCTCATTTTCTGCTGATGTAAACTCGGGGGCATTCAACTTCCTTAGTGACAACTGACATAGAGTTCCCCAACAAGTCTGTCACCATGCAGTGACACTGGTTCAGACCACAGTCTGAAACCACTGACTAGACCTTGGTGAAATAAACACCCAAAGAACTGTTCCCAGCAGGGAAAGTGTCCATATCCAGACATTAGATCCACCTGCTGTGCGTCAATTCTCAGGCAGGCAACACGGTGGAAGCTACAGGGAGCAAGGGTGCCATAAAAACAGATGAAACTACTCAGGTCATTCAGCTGGTAACTCATGTCCCAGTTTTCTTCACTGGTGTATTTTTAATGCTCTGGCACTTCTGATATTTCACTGCAAGCAGAGCAAGTAGTGTGTGTGTATGTGACCAGTTTAACCATTGCACACTGTTTAGCCCTTGTTCTGCCTTCTAAATTCTCTTTTGAAAGACAGGAAAAGATATGGGAGACAAATAGTGCCTGATCTTATCAGCTGTCTACTGCTTAAGGAGATGTGTGAGTGTCACCCATTAACAAATATGCTGCAATTAACTCAGAATGCAAGGGGCTTCTTGACAGACATCTCTTACAATCCAGGCAAGTGGTGTTCAGCAAGGAAAAACACTTCTACTTCAGGAACAGCACAGAGGGCCTTCAAAAACATTTTTGGACCTAGGTTCCCTTCTGAGAACTTGCATCTAATTTCTTATAATGAATGTCTGTTCCAAAAAGATTATTATGATTTTTTAATTATTTTGAAAAAAGAGATGAAGATTCACATCAACCTACTACAAACAAGCAGCTTACTTATTTTTGCAATTCAGTCATACTCATCTTTTCTTCCAGTTAACATGGAGAACTTGTTCAGTTTCCAATGGGCTCCAAATAGGTCATCTACCCTGAAATACAGAAGAGCAATGTTTTTTATACATGTGGCCTCACATATAAGTGTTCCTTTTTCTCATTGTAAAGGGGAAATTAGTTGAACTTCACAATCTCTGTCATCGTGAAGATTTTTTTGCTGTTTCCACTGAATACAATGAAAAAAAAAAAACCATACTTTTACAAGTGAAAATAAAGATGTGTCATAGTAATATATCTATAAATAAATATTCATTTATTACCATTATACATCATAGTCCTCTACTCTTAATGCTAAACCTATACTGGAGATTGGGAGAAAAGACTTTGCTACTGAGATATAAGATCTGCTTTACAGCAGGGTATTTAACAGTGAAACCCAAAGATGAACAAGGAACTTGCTGATTATCTGAAGATATATGTTTTACCTTGGACAAAAATTATCATCTGGTTTATATGTCAAGTTTAGGATGGGTTTCTGGCGTCTTGTTTCAGTCTGAACAAAGCCTCAGCTCCCTGAGTGCTCCCAGTAAATGGAACAGATGAGTTTTCAGACCCTGGGCCACAACAAACAACTGCTGGCCACCATCCAGCACTGCAGTAGCAATCCAGGAGGATGGTGACACCCTTAACCCCAAATCTTTTCCACTTCCTCGCACAAAAGTCTGGGAGATAGTAGTGGGGACCAGCCACAGCAGGTGAAGTCCAAAAGCTGCCCCAAACAGCAAGGCTGGACCACAGCATTTTACCAACATTTCTGCATGCTATAACTTTCCTGTCCCGTAAAAGAAAAAAATGCTATTAATGGTTTCTACTCAGGCTTGAGAGAAAAAAAATATAAACAACAAACCACAAGGAAAAGCTTACAAAATAATTTGGAATCTTGCTTTCCTGTGAGTGAGTGGCCATTGGATATAGCATTTTTGGCCCACGTATGTATGGAAGGCAGGGGCTGGCAGTGGACAGTATTTTGGGTGACATTTGGGCAGGCCTGAAACCCGAGTTCTTACCAGAGGTTTGAGCTCCAGGGGGCTGAAGGACACATAGTGGGGAGCTGTGGGCTGGGTGGTGCTCTCTGGTGCTGCAGACATCTCTGATTTTGTTTCCTTGGCACAGCACAGCTGTTCCAGGGATGAGCACTGCCCAGCAGCCTCCAGGGAACTCCACAAGTCCTGAAGCAGCATCAGGCTCTGGGGAAGCACGGGCTTTTCCGTGCCCTGCACAGTGTGTTTGCACACATACTCAGCTGGTCCCTGGTACTGCTGATGCCTTAGAACTTTAGCTTTTATGTTTTTAATATATTTGTAATCCTGCGGTTCTTTAGTGTATAACTCTAAACTCCACACACAGTGTGAGCTGCTGCTTTCCCATTTTGGGCAGACACAGCAATTCCTCTCCAGGCCTGGCAGTCAAGGACACCTCACTGCCTCAGGCCAGAGAGATGGAAACAAAACTGAGTTGGAGGGAGCAAACTTGGGTAAATGACTTCATTACCTGAAACTGTAATTGGAAAATTAACCCCCAATATGCAAATGGACCAAACTTATAGAAGTGTGAAAACCTGTGGCCCATGGTCCATTTTTGGGTGTAGCCCCCGAGGGGCTTTGTCCACCCTAAATGCTCCTGAAGGCTCTTCAATAAATATAACTGCTTTTTGTTCCCTTAATTTTGTCTGGCCTCTGTTTTTAGGTACCCTCAAAAGGCATTGCTGCAGGAGTGTGGGAAGGGTTGCAGCACAGGAGCCCTGACAGTGTTTTCTGTCACAGGCAATTCTGTGCAGTGCTGGGGAAGGGGAAAGGGGAAACAGCCCCAACAGCCAGGGCTGGTCAGTGTGTGGGATTGCTGCACTTAGCCTCAAACTGCCATTTGATGTGCTAAAAATAAGACTGACATGTTTTGCTCTCAACCCTACAGTTCTCTTTTGGTCAAGATCTGCTGTTGCACCATCCCCTCTGGCCGTGAGAAAGGCAGGAAAGGAACCCCACAGGGCAGAGGCCCTGCAGGGCAGCCCAGAGCCCTGTGTCCCTCTCTGTGCCTGGAGATGGTACCAGCACCCCTCCCATCCTGCCTGAGGCTCTGCCCCACTCCGACATTCCAGGGGCTGCAGCCAGCAGGACACAGGAATGCAGGAGAGATGGAGATTTTCCCTGGCAGGGAAAGGAGGCAGGAGCCCATCAATCTGTCTATCAGCTGGCCATACCAGTGCTTCTTTACCTTACAGGAATATTTTTCCCACTGGCTACTTTCATTAAGAAAATCACTTTTCCAGGCACAATGTGGTGGATGCTGGTGTCAGTGCAAGGTTCTCTGGGGCTTGCTGCAGGCACCAGTGCAGCCTGTGCAGGCACCAGTGCAGCCTGTACAGGCACCAGTGCAGCCTGTACAGGCACCAGAGCTCTGCAGTGCTGCTGGGCCCTGGAATACCCTGGCTGAGAGCTGCCGGCAGGGAAGTGAGAACGCAGCACAAGTGTCACCCACTGAGCCACACGGGGACAGCACTCACAGCACTGAGACAGAGGAACTGCAGAGGCAGGGGAAATACCAACAGTGGTCCATGGCAGGGCTGATAAAACCTGTGACTGCATGGAAGGAGGGGACCGTGCACAGCTGCAGACGACAGCTGATGGGGACACGAGGTGGAGAGAAGGATGGGGATCCTGATGCTGTGGTGACCAGGAATCAGGCACAGACCCAAGAGCCTCAGCAGGAGCCATGTAAGTTCTCTGCAGACAGCACTTTATGCTAGCTTTGCCTGCTGGTAGCTGGTGCTGAGTTTGCTTTGACACATGCTGGTGAAGCTGCTGCTCACAGCCAGGTGCTTTGTGCTTTGTGCCTTGTGACATGGCTTCTCCCTCTCTTGGGACCTCACTGGGCTGATGAGACCCTCATCTGGCAACCACAGCACCAAGCTGTGGATGGGAAGCATCACACTGGAGAGGTTCTATGAGCTGAGCCCCTCCAGGCATGACTTCGACTGCTCATGGTTTATACCACTAGTGATTACCTGGACACAGACAAGAGGAGGCTTTCTATACAGTGATGAAACTAGCACATCCCAGAATCTGGATGATTTTGAAGACTAAAGTACCAACAAGGACCATGACATAAAAATGTTGTTGGTTGGGGATTGATGAGCTGGGCACACTAGTATGTCAGTAACTATTTGTAAGCATCCACCAAGGAGCAGCCCCAAGAAAGGCAAAAGCAGTCCCTGGAAATTGAGAATTTTGTAATATTGTGACTGTACACTAGCATGGAATTATTTTCAAAGGGTGTGAATGTGATGTGCAGACAATGCAGAAATACTCCGGAAGCTGCTCTAAGGGGACCTGGAAAGTGGAAAGGGGAAATAACGTTTGCCCAAGACAGCAATTCAAGGTGCTAACATCAGGACCTTTAAGCTCATTGATGACCTTGGCTGAGCATTTCTGGTAAATAGGCTGTCGTGGGGAGCCCAGAGCAGCCCCTGGGACACAGGCACCCACAGTCACAAAGCCAGCAGGTCACAGGGTCACAGTGCCACACGTTTTCTCAGAATTGCTGGTTGAGAAGAGCTATGGCAGACAAGAGAACTACTATGATTCAGAGTGAAATGCTTTGTGATAATCGTGAAACTGCCTGCAAACCACTGTCCTCACCTCTCCAACAGCTGCAGGACTGTTAGGGCTGTTCTGTCCCACGGCTCAGGCAGTGTGACAACAGAAGCCACTCCTGCTCCAATCCCAGGGTTGGCACTCTGGAAGGCAGAGAGAAGACCTCAGGACCTTCCAGGGCAATGGGTCCCGTCCAAGCACAGTCTCTAGGGTGAGGAGGGTCAACAGGCATTGCCCAGTGAGACATCAGGCAGCAGAAGGTAAAGAAAAACCCAAAGATAGTCCACCTCCAGAGGAACTGCTGCAGGGATGCAGGGCAGACAAGCCTTTCACGTCCCTGCAGGACTATTGCAGGCTCCTCAGTCAGCAGGAGGTGGTACAAGCCACACCAATGGTGATGACAGAGGAAGCTCTGCCCTGTGTTCAGGAGGAGTGCGGATGCTTTCTCGGCCAGCCTTGCTGCTCTCACAGCCACCAGAAATTGTGATCGGAGGACACCTCACTGGTCATGTGCAAGGAGATCTGCTCGTTGAGCCTGCACAGCACTCCACAGCTGGCCTGGAGGAACTCACTCTCTGCAAGGACAGCAAGAGAACAGGTAATTTCTCCTAGCTATTTACTGACACAGTTATTTGCATTCTGCAAGGCATTGCCTTTCCCCAGCCATGGTGGGACACCAGAATGGGGATGGAGAAAGAAAGGGCTGGAGCCAGTATATTTTCAAATGTTCATTTTGATGCTGACCACATCTGACACGTTTTAGGATGCTTAAGGGCTGTCTCAGCCTTTGCTAGATCTTTTCTAGGTCTCCCTGGTATGATCTCCCCTTCTATCTTGTGGGCTCATAATGCATTTCTCATGTCCAGAGGACAGAGCTGCTGCAGATATCTGCTATACCACATTCTCTCACCTCTTCAGAGGTCTCCTGGCATGATTTCTCCACTGCATGATTTTCAAAACTAACCAAGACCCACAGATGCACATAAAAGCTGCAGCACTGCCTTATGGTTTGCTCGATGGCGATGCTTTTGAGACCCATGAACCTTCCCCCATGGAGCCACGTTCCCCTGGCAGGGAAAATCCAAATAAATGTCAGACATCCTGGGTCTCTTCTGTCCATGAACAGTTGCACCTGGAACATGCTTCTTCATTAATTCCACCAAAGCTGGAGGGCAAACAGCAATATTGCCCTTAGATCCAAGGTGATCAAACCACCCACTAGACAAAACACAGCTCTTCCACATCTCATACCTGCCACGGCATAGGTGAGTTTATTTTGTCTTGGAATTGTGGCAGATTGCTGTAACACTTCTGAGATAAAGAGCAGCTTTGAAAATCCTTGAAAGGCAGTGAGCAGACCCAGTACTCAGATTCTCAGTGCAGCCCTCCGAGTACAGAATTTGATGGCAGCTGAAACCAGTATACACTAATAAGAGATACACTAATAATTGCTCATATCACTAATGAGAGGTGATGCAGAGACTTCTCAGGACTGAGGGAAAGGACAGCTGTCCTTCTGCTGCACATCTGGGACATTTTAAGCTGCTAGGTCACCGGCTGGCTTTCACTGAGCCCTGCTATAAGGGAAGGGATGAGAGTTGGGTTTAGGGATCCCCTTCCCACTATCAAATGTTTGCAATGGCTCACATAACTCCTTGCTGCAGGATATCTGCTGCTGCCTGATCCAAGTCTGAACCAAAATAACGGCCTAAGCCCTTTTCCCTGCCACTCTCCAGGAATTGTCTTCCCTGCAGAGGACCCAGGGAGAATCTAAGTGTTTCTGTCCTTCACAACTGATCAGGCTTGTGTCCCTGTCCCTCTTCCTCCCACTAGGTACCCTACATCAGGTTTTCATGGCTGGCAAAGCCCTGAACTCTCTCAATTAGAATTAATCACCGATTCAGTCCAGGACCTCCCTTGTAAAAGGCTTAATTTGCTTTTGCAGGAATTGTACGTTTTGATACTCCCAAAATGAACCACAGCAGCTGCAATATCACAGCCTATGAAATATTTTCACTTTTCCAGCTGTGTGTTTACATCCCAGTTTTGGGTTTGGGCATTATTCTGAACATGTTAGCACTGTGTGTGTTCTGTTGCAAACTTGGCAAATGGACAGAAACCAGAGTATATATGGTCAACTTGGCTGTGGCTGACTGCTTGCTGCTCTTCACCTTGCCGTTCAAAACTCTGTCCCAGTTCCAGCACCTGAAGGTGGATGGGTGGTGCCTGGTTCTGGAAGGTGGCTATTTCACAAACCGCTTTATGAGCATTGGCATCATCACCCTCATTGCTGCGGATCGGTACCTCGCTATCAAGTACCCTTTGAGATCCAAGGCACTGAGGTCGCCGCTGAAGGCAGCTTTTGTCTCTGGAGTCCTTTGGATATTCATCATCTGTGGGACTGCCCTCATTAAAAGCTTTGAAGACCGAAGAGAGGATGATTTTTGCTTTGAAAAATTTTCTGTGACACCCTCGGTGATCACACTGTGTGCCATTATTACAGGGTTTTTCATACCACTGCTCATCTTGAGTTACTGCTCCATACAAGTCATTGCAGAGCTCAGGAGAAAGAAGAATGACAACTGTTGCAATGAAATGCTGAACAGGAAAGCTGTCTACATTGTGTCTGCAAACATGGCTGTGTTCATCATTTGCTTTTTACCTCTTTACCTCGGGCATCTGCTGCGCTTCGTCCTGGACTCCATCGGCTCCAACTGCTCGGCAATACAGAGCATCAACAACTTTGTTCACTTCGCCTCCATCCTCGCCAACACAAACTGCTGCCTGGATGCCATTTGTTACTACTTTGTCAACAAGGAATTTAAGGAAGCGTCTTCCAAGCTAGCAAAGTCCAAATCCGAGGCCAGTGAAGAAGGTGAAATTCAGCTCCCACATGTAACACATTAACACAAAACACATACAGCATGCATTTTATATTTGTTCTGTTCAACTGGGACTCACTAGCAGGGTTTCACACTTCCTTTTTGTAAGAGTGGGATGGAGGGACATTCTACTGAAAGGAGACATTCAGATACATGATTCAGCTCTGAACCAGACAACCACAGCAGTCCAGGTCCTGATCTAATGATCTAGACTGCCGCCGAAAATTCTCTGCCTTAATGCAAATTTGCATAAAATGATAGATTTCCCCTGCCAAAATCCCCCTGTCTTTCATTTTCCCACAAAACCCAGAAGAAGCACAGGCACTGGTAAAGGATCGGGTTTTGTCTCTCATCCCCACCTTGGATCAGTGTTTGTGCAGCTGTGACAAAGAAATAAGCTATTCCAAATATCAATTCATTTTAAAAAAATCAGAGTGAAACCATGCAGAAAAAGAAAGAATGGTGTTTCTATATGTCACAATCTTACTGGTTTTTAGTTGCTAATAATGCACAATCCCATAACAGGCATATTTAGCTTGCTTTAAAGAACTTTACAGCAGTGTAACAACTCCAAAATGGTCAACATTACAACCCAAGGTCAGAAGAAATTGCAATTGCTTGTACTGGGAAAAAACTTTACATCAAAAATGTTTGAGTAAAATGGCATTTAAAAATAAATAGAAGAGCTGGTGCAGGGCAGTGGGAACAAGGGCACTGTACTAGGATTCTGTTCAACCTTATAATGTAAAGGATTGTCTGAAGTGTTCCAAAGCTGTTCCAAAGAAATCAATCTAAATAAAGTTGTGTCTCTGGCATGGAATTCAGTTTCTTAATGAGGTAAATGGAAGAGGTGGGAGATGGGGTGGTAAAGGACCTGCTGTGCTGCCTGTCCAGGAGGAACAGCTCCCGTTGTCCAAGCCAGGGGCAGTGGGTACGAGCTCCAACTGGGACTGGGATTTTCTAAGGCAGAGCAGAGTGTCCCACCCTGTGATAATTTTACCGCAAATACCTAAAAGTAGATGAAACCACTCAGCAGCTTCAGACCACACACCCTGAGCTGGGCTGTACCATGCACCCACCTCCACTCACAACTCCACTCATACCTCCCAACCCCAGGCTGGGCTGCTGGATTTGTTTTGGTGTAAGGTAAATTTGGGATGAAACTTCCAAGGGCGTTTTTTTAGAAAGCAGATTTAAGTGGCCCTTTTCTCAGTTGGTTCGGAGAAAGATTTCTTTGCAGAAAAGAAGAAAAAAACTCTGTTTATTTAACAAGCAAAAGTATTTGCAAGTATATAAAAAAAGAATAATATTAATCAATAAAATCTCTTGTTGTTTTTAAGAGATGGCAAATTCAAAAAGTTTTCTTGGTGGGGTGTAGCTTGGCTCATTCAGTCTCTTATCAGTCCCTTCTGTGCTGGAAATGCAGCATACCATCCCCAGTAGGCCACAGGTGTGAGCTCCCCGTGTTCTCCTGGGTTTGTAGAGCAGGGCCGATCAGTCCCTAAAAAAAAGTCACAGTCTGGGGAATTTCTCTGCTTCAGTTAGCTAAAAAAAAAACTAACTAAAAAGCAAAGGACAGTTCTTTCTTGCTCTCTGTGCTGCAGACAGCACAGTCCGTGAGAAGGAATGCAGGGCAGCAAGTGCAGTCTCTGCAAATAAACTGTGCACATTTTTAATTCCCCTTTGCTTTTGGAACTGGTCTGAAAGGTGCAGAACTTTATACCCAGCCTAAACAGAACAGATGACTGGGGATACATCATCAATGAAGTCACCCTAGGACAGCTGCTGTCCACCTGCACGTGCTGGGCCCAACTCTGCTGCCACAAAAACATCCTTACAGTTCCCACACCCAGCCCTGCCTTTGTGTCTTCTCCTAGTCAAGGCAATGCCAAAAGGAGGAACCCCCTGCTGCAGACAATGGCTGAGCAGAGCCCTCCATCCACCTGGGCAGTGGCTGTTCCATGCACAGGACAGCAGCAAAACCCTGCCAGCTTCCCAGGGGATGCAGGCTTCTCAGCATGCTTCCAGAGAGTCAGATAGAAATGGGGATATCTGCTCTGTTATCACCAAAATCTGAAAGCAGAATCTTTCCTTTGCTCACTACACAACGGGGAGTGAAAGGGGGAGAGGCTCTGGCTGCAAAGACCTCCTGAGGAGGTTGGTTCATCTCCCCTTTTCTACACTTGCATTTTCTTTGAACAGATCAAAGCTGCAAAGGGTGCTGTGCATGCAGAGATGGATTATCTGCTGCTGGCTCAGCCCAAGGGTCACACCCTGCTTCCCCAGCCCTGCTGCTGCTGCTGGCTCTCCTGCATCACGGAATGACATCTGCACCTCTGTGATCTGATGGATTGTTCCCCAGTAGAGCTCAACAGATCTTTAACATTCTCCCCCCAGTACAGGATTTGTGGGGTGAGAGCACAGTGGTTTGAGAGATCACCTGGTTGCCAGTGTGCTTTTTCTATACTTCTGGTCTCACCAGCATGGATGTGAGCTCCTCAGAGGCGAAAGCTCTGCAAGAACCAAACTGCTGTTTAAGATGGGCAAGAAAAAAACACTTCTACTCCACCAACCGCTGACAAAAAGGGTGGGGGAGATGCAAAGCAGCGTGTAAACAAAGCACTTCCCAGCACGCTCCCTCACCCACCTAACTTCTAGTAACGCCTCTTCCTCTGGCAGCCCAGAGACACCCACCACGAGTGCCTGCCTGAGGCAGCCAAGCTTCCTCCCCACAGAAACCTCACGGCAGAGACTCTGAAATTTCTGTTCTTCACCATTCAGGCAGGCCAGTCAGGGATTCAGGAGTGCTGGGGCTGAAATACGCGGCGCAAGGACCAAGAAGCCTCCTCAAGTTCCCCAGCTAGAAAACTGGTTTTTACTGTTCTGTTTATTCACTGTCTTTTGCTTTTCCCATCTGGAGCTCTCAGGCTGATTTAGTAGAAAGAGTGTCTTCAAAATTCATGACCCACCTGGCCAAGCTCTCTCACCCATACAGAGAAGAGGTAAGAGAAGAGCTAAGCAGTGAGGAGGCAGCAGTGACACACAGGTATTTCTGGTGGGCTCAGCAGCCTCTGGGAGACAAGGGGGATCCGAGCACTTGCCAACAAGATACTGATTCTTCCATCACTGCTTGGAAGGCAGACCATAACTGTCCAGGCAGTGCAGGCCTTGCCTGGCTTGCTTTTATCTTGCTGCAAAAACCTCTCACCACATCCGCCAGCTTTCGAGTATGTGCAATTTCACCTTCATAGCATAGGATGCACTCTGCCTTTCAGATCTCCTGGACACCACCAGGCTGGACAACACCAGCACTGTGGTTGCCAGGTGAAGAGGGCACAGGTGTGAGGAGGGTGGAACCTCCACCTCTCAGACTCCCAACTTGCATCACTTCACCCTGCCCTCGTCAGGCCACGCTGCCCCCCAGCAGCTGCAGGACACAGGCAGCACAAACATCTTGCACTGGCAGCTCCCACATTATAATAATTCTATGATTCTATGAATTGATGACCAAGCTGGATGCAGCCAGTGTCATACCTGTCAAAACCACTGGATGGATATGTTACACAACCAGGTGGAAGCAGAGCAGCTGCAGCACGGGAGGTGGCTGCACAGGGAGGACACACACAGAGTGCAGGTGCACATCCCAAGCTCCCTCTGACTTTCATGTTGATGCTCACAAAGCTCTGCTAACATCTCACACTAAATCTCTTTCTTGGGGCTTTCCATTTGCTTTTGTTGTCACATTTTAACAACGAACTCTGTTTTAGCCAGGGCAGCTGACTGAAAAATGAGAGTTCAGCTGAATGTCAGTTGCGGGGGGGAAAGTGCGAAAGCTGCTACCAAAAAGCCATGACATACTTCAAAAACATTTTTGTCTAAGACAGAAAAAGAGGGCACTGCTGGGGAAGTGAAAATTGGAGTGACTCATTATCGTTAGCTTGAAGTAGAAGCAATCTCTCAGTTTCTGAATGAAGCTCAGAGCCATCACTCCAAGGGGATGAGCTGTCCTGTGTGGGCAGTGCCTGCCCCAGCCAGGAACAGTGTCATGCACTCCTCATTCCTCAACACGCTGAAAGGCTGCAACATCTGCAGCCCTGTCCATCAGAAACCCTGGCACAGTCTGCCAGCAGCTTTGTTTTTCTAAATTCAAAATCCCACTTCTGCCTGCTAACATTTTCCTACCAAGGCAAGCACTCTCTAATTCTTCCTTTCTGGCCTTTGGCTTGCCAGCCAGACTCCCTGCTTTGGTTCAGTAAAAATCTGGCACAGATATTTCAGGCCTGACTTCCATCAGCCTCGAAATTGCAAGAGCAATTCTGTAAGACTTTAGCCCTTGGTGGGTACCACAGCCCACAGTTAAACCCTTGCTCTGTGTGGCTGTATAAAAACAGGCTCCAGAAGCAGCACGTTTTCCCCAAAAGTCACCTTGCACTGCCTGGGGACTGAAGGACCCCAGGCTGTTCTCAGTGCCACAGCAGAGGCTCTGTGTCCCCAGCACACCATCCTGCACACCCCACATGGCTCACACAGCTCCTCTGCATTGCTGCACCTATTTCATGACTTCCCTGCATTTACACTTCTGCCTGTCACAAAGGTTATTTATTACCTGTTTTTCCTGAGAAGAGCCCTTAGTGGCAGAAGGGAAGGAGCTGCCTGATCTGATCTGGTTCTGTGGCAGCGTGGCAGCAAGGGGCATTTTCTCACCAGCCAGTGTGGGCAGAAAGCCAGGAGTGATCCTGGGGCAGGGAGGAAGAGATTCTTGTTTAGCCTGTCATTTAACAGTGACATCTTTTACTGCTGCTCACTTCCTTTCCTTGCTGATCATTCTGCTGAATGGAAGATGCAGCTGGTACCCAACAGCTTTCTATGCCCCACTGACCGCTGAGCAATCCTGGAGATTGAAGTCCTTTATTTTACCACTCTGAGGCTGCTTCCTGCCACCTTCTGGGCACTGCCCATGCCAGGCTGGCGTGCCCTGGGGGCTGCTCCCTGTCCCCTCTGCCAGGCCCAGGGGTCAGAGCAGGCTCTGTGCCTGGGAGGAGCACACCCACCACTGCATCTTTGTAGTTACAGGGTTCCATCTCAAATCATGGTTATATTCACAGGGCTTTCATGATTTTAAAGAGGGAGTGGGTTTGGCTTTGGTTTTGTTTTGAAAGAAACAGAACTTAGAAACATGTTAAAGGCGAAATAAACTGGGCAATAATAAAAGATAAGTGCCTTTAATAACATGACTGAAATTTTTTTCTTTTGCCACTTGGCTGGACTCAAATGGTGAATTTTGCCCATTTGGGAGGAGCAGATTGTATTTTCAGTAGGCAGAGAGCAGCAAGGGATGATACCTCCTGACTCCTGGGGAGATGGATGGTCTGCAGCACTCCCAGCTCAAATACAACAACAAAACTGATCCAGATACACACATTTGGGGTTTGGTGGGCACTTTCTTTTGTTTTTTAAGATTCTTCTGTTCTCATCTCTCACGTCAGGGACCCCAGATCTATTTCAGCCACAGCAGGAGTTTTCAGCAGAGGCAGAGCCTTTACCAACTCCCTTGCTAGGCAAGGCCCTGTGTAGGAAATAGAAGCCCTGCAATGAGCTCCCCTGTTTTCAGATGCTCAGCTCCTGCTGGGCTGCCCAAAGGAAGACCACCTGGACACCCACTGCCTTCCCCCAGTGAAAGGGAAGTGGGCCCCACCACCTGCCTGGGACAGGTATCCTAACCTGTCAGCATTCCCCACTGGTTTTCAAAAAAATAAAATAAATATTATAAAAAAACCCCCCAAACATAGAGAGAGACAAGATCTCCGACAAAG